TTCTTATCCTTAAAGAAAAATAACCTTTGAAACTTCCAAAAAATAAGTTAGCTTTCGGAATTGCTTTTATTAAATTAAAAATTCCGCTTAAAATTATCTTTAAAATTACCCCCAAGTACCTTAAAAATTATCTTAAACGACCTTCAAAGCCTAGAAAAACAATTCGTTTGAGATTTTCCCCCAAAATTAGCTTGAAGGAATTATCTCAAAAATGAAAGTAACAATAAAAATTACCATGTTTATTTTTTTAGATACAATTTTTGATGAAGACAACAAATTCCAGTATTAATAGATTTTTAAAATAACCAAAGAGACAAATAAACATGAGAAAATGATAGAAATAAATACAGAACGAGAGATGGGAGATTGGAGAGTGTGTGCAAGTAAGAAAGAAAGAAAGAACGAAAAAGAAGGAAAGAAAGCAAATATGACGAAACAAGCGAGGAATAAAGGATGTATGTGGCTTGTTCGGATATGATAAAGAGAAAATGAAAGAAAAAAAGGAAAGAAAGAACGAATGAGAGAGAGAAAAATACAGGTGCTTAAGTTAAACGGTAAAAGAGTAGGTAATGTAAAGGAAACGCGATACTTAAGTTTTAAAATGAATTTTTTTAAATTAAAAATCTTCCTTGAAGCTTTTATTTTAATTTTAATTTCAAGCCAATAAATTAAATTTAATATTTCCAGTAAGCAAAATACTTCAGTGTAATTCAAAACTAATTTTAATTGACTGGAATGAGTTTTTTTTAAATCGCTAAAAATCGCTGATTTTATCCATTTTCAGATATTTGTCACCACAATGTAATTCGCTTGGTTAGAAAATCTTTCAAAAATAAAATGATGTATTTTCTCTAAATTTTCTTAGAAGAATATTTGCTAATTTAACGTTTAATTAATCTGATTTGAAATAAATATTACTTATTTTAGGTTACAATATTGCAGAAATGCTTTTTTAACATGGTGGTAGGTGTTTCGATTATGTGTTAACAGTCTGACATCCAGAAGTTAATAGATAATTTTCTTTTTACGGTAGACAAAAAAAATACCTGAAATATATAGCGTGACTGCCTTTCTTCTATGAATTTTATTTGATTTTTATATGATTTGATATTCCATATAAATTATATATCATTTTATATATTTATTTTATTTTTTATTTATTATTTATTTATATTATTTATATTTTTATATTATTATTTTATACTATATTTATATTATATATTATATTTTATATATTATATATAATATATATAAAATAAATATATATATAATATATAAATATATATAAGAAATATATATAATATATATATATATATATATGTAATATATGTAGTATATAATAAATATATATCATAAATATATATAATATATATAATATATTTTATTTTATATTTTATATTATATTTATTTATATTATATATATGTTATTTATTTTATTTATATTTATTTTATAATTATTTTATATTTATTCTTATTTTATATATTTATTTTGAATAAATTTATATGCTTTGCTATTTATATGATTTTAATCTCCCAGTCATCATTAAAATTTAGGAAAATATTCTTTGTAATTTAATGTTTTGTTGATTTTAGATAATTTGACTCTTAATGTCTTCTAATGCGTATGGGTGTCCTTATTCTCAAAAATCGATATAACATGAAACAAAAAGAATTAAAAAATTTTAAATATTGGTGGTCACTGAAGTGTTGTAAGCTTTTACATTTATGATTAGTAAATATAATTTTTATTTAATAACAATATCACCTAACGGTCACAAATTAACAGAGAATTTTAAAAGGCTTAAAAAATTATAAATTATTTAAAAAAAAACATTATTGTAAAAGTTCATTATTTAACGAAAATAATTTTTATAAGAAAATAGTGTCTATAATATATCTTATTCATAAAAGCAATTAAAAATTTTTCTAATTAAATAATGTTTTAATTCTATTGCATTCTTATTTTACGATTCAGAACAGATTTTTGTTAGCTAAGAGTCATGTTTTACAAAGGAAAATTGATGACTTAAATTATTCAATTAATTCTGCATATAACTAATATACTAATTAAACAGTACACAAATTTCCCGAAATTTAATGAAATTAAACATGTCTAGGGTAACAGATATAAAAAGAAATATATTCTAAAGGTTTTCTAAAAAAAAAAAGATATTGCTAAAATAATTTCATTCATTTGTGAATAGGCCATGAAAGTTTTATTAAAATCCAACAATTATTTCATTTTTGCAAGAATATCCAGATAAATATTTTTTACCAAAAATGAAAACAAAAATAGAAAAAAGAAAAAACGCTAAAATTTCCTATATTAATCTTACATTTCCTCCCAGTGACGCAGAAAAAAAAATAACCAAATTTTAGAAAGTACTAAAACAGAAAAAGAAATACTTAATTTAATAATCAAATAATCGTTTGCTCTTTCCTCTTACGCTCAAATTTTGTTTTTGTTATGTTGGGGACATATTTTCATCATGTAGGCTTACTTTTTTTTAGCGAACCTGTGGAGAAACCTATAATAAAGAATAAAGAATGAAGGATGTCAAAAAATGGCTGAATGACGAAAACATTTAGATAAATGAAAGAAAATAAGGAAATAGGGCCAAACAAACAATTCGCGAATGAATGAAATAAAAATGTAAAGAGAAAGAATGAATGAAACAAAAGAATAAAAAAGAAAAAATAACCAAGAGAAGCAAATAAACAAAGAATATATGAATGAATGAATGACGGAATGATTGACTGAATGAAGAAGTTTTAAAAAAGGTATATAGAAAGAAAGAATCAAACAAACTGCGTATTTTTTGTAAAACTTCAATCAATCTCTGTGAAGATTTCTACATCTCTTATACTTCACTTAGACATTACTTTGTACTAATGACATTTAAGTCAAACCTGTAATTCTATTTAGAGAGAGATGGCTGTTTGGACATAATGTAAATAGATTCCAACACCTTCAAATGAAATTCAAAATTAGCCTTCCTCAGTGCTTGTCTTAATATTCAAGTAGCATTTGTTAATAAGTATCAAACAGATCTGCTAAGAAAGGTTAAATATTGTAAGTACCTGGAAGTAAATTTACTGTAGATGATATATTGATTAAAGTTAATTTCTATACACGTTAGTTTTATTAAATTGGTTCCTGTTTTAATTAGAGTAGCATCTTTCAGATAAAAAAAATATTAACAACTAAAACGTGGACAAAAAGAAACTAAATGAAATCGCCTAGACTAAGATTATTCGGAGTAGATAGGTTAGTCTATCGTACGTTTTACACTTCTCCGCGGTCTTTTGAATATAAGTAGCTGTTTATCCACTGTTTCTTGTTTAGGATTGGGTCCTTGTAAACTTTTCTCATTTTCTTTGGCTCCCGATAGTCCATTGTATCTTAGTAGAATTATAGCCTTGCTTGGGGTGAATTGAATGAAAAAATGACTACACTTCCAAAACATATATTTAAAAAAAATAAATAAATTTTAATTTTCAGAGTCCGCACTTCTTCGTATGCATTCGCAGTCGCATCAAAGTAAACATCATTTTAGTCCGATGAATTCTTAATGGGCGAGACGCATAACACTTTGTCATATATATATATATATATATATATATATATATATAATTATTTATTTAAAAATTATAACATAAATATGTTATAAAATCACTACAATAATAGCTATTTTGTTTCAACACCTCCGGTGTCTTATCAAGTGATGATATTGAATGTCAACTGAACACTCTTTTAAGAATAGAAATTATATATATATATATATATATATATATATATATATATATATATATATATGGGAATAAATCTAAAAAAAATGAATAAAACATCAATTAAAAAAATAGTTCAAAAAGTTGTTCAAAAATGAAAAAAATTAGAGCCCACCTGGACTTTTACCTTACTCCATATAGAAATAAAATAATACCTGGCGGCTCGTGTCCGAACCAGTCGTTGCTGCAGACGCCTGCTCAGGCACATTTGTGTTGGTTCAACACCAACGGAGACCACCTGTCGTTTATAATGCAACTCTGCTGAGCGGAAATTAGATACTGTTTCTGGGAGAGACCACTTAATATGGCGTGATGAGCAGTCTGAACAAGGCCATTGCGCTCAGAGCCACGTTCAGATGACTTATGAATTCGTGCTAGCACAAGAATCGTCGGCTCCCAAAGAGTTCCGTCTACACAATTTCACTCACAAAGCTCCTGTCAATATGTGTTATGGTGTTCAGACATTTTCAAAACTTGCAGCTCCCTCCGATCCAAATTGAAACCGGATCTCATAGTAGCAAAGTGAACGTTCTGATCACTCGGATATATATATATATATATATATATATATATATATATATATATATATATATATATATATATATATATATATAAATTACCAAGAGGATAGAATCCAGATTGAACTCACTGTCCACTACAGAGTAAGAATATAATATAAAAGGCTCAAACACTAATATTCCATGGTTATAATTTGTTACACTGGAATCGTAATCACGATCAATTAATCAGAGCTACTTATTCAATGTAATAAATTATAACCAGTTTTGAGCCTTATATATATATATATATATGGGATAGTGATATATGAATTATTATATTTGAAGAAACAAAAGTGATAAAACAAACAAATAGGAAAAGAAACCATCAGTCGTGTTCACGTACAGTCGAATCGAATTGTCTGATGAATCGTACTGGACAAAACACGTGATTTGCAGGAGCCCTTTGAGTCTATATATATATATATATATATATATATGTATGTGTGTGTGTGTGTGTGTGTGTGTATGTAACAATCCCTCATTTATATATGTTTCATTAAAGACGATTGACAAGGTATTGTGTTTAAGTTTTTTATTTCATGTTTCAATTGCGAACACAAAGAAAATTAAATAACAATATTAACCACAGAACTTTATCAAGCGACATTAATGAAACATGTATACCTATCTATCCATCTATCTATGTATCTTTGCACACACACACACACACACACACACATATATATATATATATATATATATATATATATATATATATATATAAATATATATACACATAGAATCAATCAGAATTATTAATGCGATTATTGGCGACATCCATCGCTAGAAAACATAATATATGCATTAAAATACTGTTCATCCATAGTGCGAGTTGATCCTCGTCGATAAACTTGTCTGTAGTATTTACGAATAGTCTTCTATTCATCATCAGGTATGTGTTTTTTTCCTTATAAAATCAAAAACTTGAGACGATATACCTGTATGTCGACCGAAAGATGTTTTTTGAATACCTGCTATTATTGACGGTTGTGTAAGATCTCGGAACGTGCAAAGACGCAACGCTAAGCTTTTCAAAATTTTAAGTGATGGATGTTGCCAATAATCGCATTAATACTTCTGATAGATTCTATGTGTGATTATTTCTTTGTATGTAAATTATATGCTGCCTAATGTTTTATGTTTATATATATATATATATATATATATATATATATATACTAAAATAGACAATGTTGGTATGACCTACAGACAACTTGTCAGACGACTTAATACCTTACACGAGGAAAAAAAACTTCGGAACAAGGAAAGAAAAAAAAAGGGACCAAAAGGCAAACACTTATCTCCACAGTAAATTAACGTGTTCAACACCTAGTTTGTTTATAAAGAGCAAAAACCATTTCATAACGTCAACGACAGAAAGCACGAGTCGTCACTGAAAATGAAAAATATTTGAATTAAAAAAATCCAAAACTTTTGCACATAAAAATTCCATTATCCACACAAGTAAAACTTTCCATCTCATGTTCAAGTGTTCTTTTGCAGAATTAGCATTTTCGTCGATGTTGCCACTTTTTCGCTTTTCTCTTGATAAATTCATCACAGACATAGCAAGATTCTTCTGCCGGAAGCTTACAACCTCTTGATGCCATCTGTGACGAAGGCAGCTATCAACGACGACTTGTATGCACTTGGACAGCTAAAAGCAAACTGAACTGTCGACATTACGTTCCCTGTATTTATTCTGTCATCTAGGTTGCTAGAACTTTGGCGATATCATTAAAACTTTTACAAAGTTCTCGTAAGTTCTTGAAACTTCTCGAAAAATCGTCTTCAGCAACTCAGTGTTGAATCTGACTGGAATGTAATAGAAAATAGTTTAGTTTCAAAACATCGATGTCCAGGACAAAGTTGGAAGTGAGTAATAGTCATTTTTATTGCTTCTAGACAGAAGCAATTAGGAAATAATACTTAATGGCATAAGATAAAAAAGTCCAAATTTTGCTACACTGTGATAATATTAGTTACATATATTATTCAATAGAACTTAGAAATAATATTTCTATTTGCTGAAGTGGAAGGATTTTGGTAATAGGTTTCAATAATAGTGTACTTTTAACCAACTCACGAGCAAGGGCTTTTGAGTGTAGAATAATAATCTCATAACGTGTTCAAAACAACAATAGCACCACTTTCATGCTACACACACACACACATACACACACATATATATATAGGCAGTATATATTCATTCAAGTATCTTTCTTTGAATAATCTTGACAAATTGTGTTTATTTTATTTTAAACCTCTCAATGAATTTCTTAGTGCTGTTACAAAACTGAGTAGTAAGAAAGACACCGTAGTTTTGGTTATTTCTTTTATTATCTCGAGTATTTTCACTCTCATCTAAGATGACCCCAGGCGTGAATTGCTGAGACAATAATTATCAAGTCAATCTTTGCCACAATTAACAATTGATTTGTTGGTCATTTTCGCGTCTAGGTGTCAGTTTCACTTTGTAGGACTTATCTGGCTTACTTCTAAGTCACTCATAATATACACCTATTTCTTCCCGTAATACGCCCTTTCAACAACCTCATTTAATAATTTTCTACCTTGAGTGGTTCTTGGGCCTTTATTTGAAATTGTATTAAACAGCGAAACATATATAATTCGTATTTGATCTGATCAGCTATTAGCACAACGACATCAGAAATGAAAGGCATTTTGAGATCCTCATCCCTAAAGCCAAACCAACGACAACATCCCACATACTACTACTACTACTACTACTACTACTATTAATAATAATAGTTATTTACACTATTCATATGACGAATTGTAACCATAATTTTTATTTTAATGGTTTCTTTTCTCCCACTTCTCATCCGTGGAAATCATAGTGGAGTAAGATGTTGGTTTTTGCATTTAGTGACATGAGTTCAATCCCTAGGGCAGATAGTGTATACTTGGAAATCAGTTGAATCGGGAGAAGAATAACTGAGCTGTAGTAAAAATAAGAACTTGACGATATCCCTAGACATGGGCAGTGGAGCGAGAACCCCTGTAAATTAAATAAAGGATTCAGTTCAGAATTCGCTGTAGGTTACCCAGATCGATATGCATCCGAAGACAATAGTCCCATTATAAATAGTGTAAATGACTATAATTCCTCATCCCAGGAATTCAGACAGAAATAATAATAATAATAATAATAATAATAATAATAATAATAGCTTTAACATTAACGATAATGATAATTTCAGATTTGATAATAATTATCAGTTATTTTTCTATCGCAGTTGCATTGGCACTATCATTGTTTCATTTAATAGAGTTATCTTCATTTTAATTACATCATCAATGTTTCAGTTGATTTGGGAATTGCTATCTCGATTTTATTTCTTAGATACTGACATTGTTTTCTCGACAAATTCTTTTTGTGGATGTTAACGCTTTATTTACTGTTTTTTGATTGTCGCAGGAATTCTGTCTGATATCGATGTTTTGCAATTATTTTCTCGATTGTTTATCCAAAGTAATTCTATTAGCCGGGCCTTTTACTAACAGCATCGAGTTTTACGATGCTAGCGTGAGTTCGATCTTTCTGGCAATAATTATCAAGCTTGATTTTGCGGGGGTGGAGTGTAATGTAATGGACAAGGACTCGAAATTGTTAATTGGAGAGCAGTGTTCGAATATCTCGTTGTGGTCGTTATATTTACTTACGCGTAAATCCACCCCTTCTGTCCCCAGCTATAGGGTAATTAGTAAGAATTGTAACACTAAAACATTATCATTATACTCACAGCCAAAAAATAGCATTCTTACAAAGATGTTTTTGGCTTTAAATTACCTGTCCGCCATTTTCTTACTGCTGCTGCTTATGAAGATTTTCTTATCAATATTATTTCTCTCCCCTGTCGATTATATTTCTTTTCTTTTTCTTGTAAGAAGAACAAGCCGAGATGTCCCTAGTCCTGTCCATCGGAACGGGCATAATCAACCCTAACTGAAATAGGCCTGACGATCACATTGAACCTTACAGTGAGAATGCAGAGAGTGTTAAATTGAGAGATAATTTTTAAAGCCAAAATTGCCGATTTTTTCAGTGGTTTGCTGATAGAAAGGCATTTAAGGCAAGCTTTGTAGGAGAGTATGCAATATCGGAGATAGAGATAGAGCGTAAATATAATTAATATGAAAACTTTTTTTTTTACACTTAACTTGGCAGTATTTCCATCATGCTGACTTCGAAGTTTCGTTGTCAAATGGATAGACAAGGCGTCGTTGGAATATTCTGCGGACATTTCTCGATTTATTTTGTATTCATATATTGTGGTGTAACACGAACACGAAAGAAAAAAAAATGATCCTAGTAAAAAAATAAAATAAAAGTAATTATATATTATACTAAATTTAATACAACCAACTTAATCATTCGCAGTAAACAACTAGTGTTTTGCAAAGATCAACATTGTATATCAATTTAAATGTGCTTTGGGAGATTTTATCTCTGACAAAAGGAAATATATATATGTTGGTTTACTATAACAACATTATCCAGGAGACTTACACTATATATGTCGTATACAAGCTCTATCGCACAACATTTAAAGAAACTATCGGATTCCGATCTATATTTGATCTGTATTTGACCTTTAAATTATATATATATATATATATATATATATATATATATATATATATATATATATAAAACATTTTTGTTTTATACATATTTTTTATAGACACAATTATTTAAATAAATGCTCTGTTTATAATAAACTGTATTAAACAACATTTACCGGCCTGAATGTCCGAGAAATTTTCATATATATACAAAGATAGATAGATGCTGTATATTTCGGTAGCAATGTTTGTTTTTAATTTATATTCTAGAAGACATAATGAAGAAAGATGGCTTGTAGAATTTGGCACGCACAGGATATATTGACGACAAGAGGAGCAGATATAAACAGAGTAAGCTACATAAAAAGCTTTTGCAAATACATGGCGTATTAGAGACCTTTTTGATGTGATCAAAGCAAACTCGTATTGCTAGATCTAATTGTGACTGGGTGCTCCATGCTTTAGGCTTTGTGCCACACCTAATCTCCTCTTAGTGAATTGTTAATAGACACTAACAGTTATTACTGACATCTACGAAAGATAGAAAAACTAGGGATCGTTTATGTTCCCCAAGGTCAGGGAATATAGTGATTAACTAAGCGTAGCTTAGATAGCACAATGCCACAAGTATGAGACACCCAGTGAGAATCGAACGCACTAATCAGTTGTAAATGATCTCGTGAGACAAGCTTGCTAACCATTACACCACAACGATGATAAAAAGATAGATACAAGAAGAATGATGCGTTTGTGTGGTTTTATGGTGATTCTGGAAGTCAACAAATTTGATCTGGATGTACAACATTATAGGGCAGTTTGATTGTGGATTGATATTGCACCCAATTTACAAATTGGATTCTTACATAATAAATAAAGACGCTAAATATTTATTTCAAAATCATTACTGTTTCTTTTTTTTTTTTTTTTTTTTGAGGAAATGTGTTTAAATATTAAGTTTCGGTTCAAAATCTTAGCGATGATCAGTGAAAGCCTTATAGCACAGCTTTATCCAATTTATAATCTACTAAAGCCTTAAAAATTTATATATGAACAAGATGCATGGCACAAGCACATTGTTACTAAATCATTGTGCTATCAAATATGAACTTCTTTTATTTCAAAGTGAATTATACTGAACAATTTAACTATATTATGATTTAATATGTGATTTCCAATAAATTATGCAAATTTAAAACATTTTGTCATATTATGGTGTTATATACATTTTGATCTACTTTGTTTTTATTAATTATCATAAATCAAATTATCTAACAAATGATCTAAGTAGTCATATTCATTGAGTAGCCATTTATTTTTATCTTATACAATTTTTTTTACAGTTTTTATTTATGGAATACGGCCTAAAAACATATTGTTTTCTGTATGTGATTCTTAATTGGGATTCTGGTTTGAATAAGATTTCCATTCAATGTATCTAATACAAAAGATATTAACTTTATATGAATTTATTTTTGAATTTGTAAAATGTTGAAGTCAGTTTTTAAGTAAAAACAAGTGAAAATAAGATATTTCTGCACATGCTCTCAGACGATCTTTAGATTATAGCGCTGGAGAATTAGTGAAAGATATAACGCTAATTTTCGGTGTTAGTACTTATGATATCAAACGGCAGCTTTCACACTGAATGCAATGTTGATTTTACTCAAACAATAGTGAAAAAATCAAAGTGCTCTATTGCAACAAGTGATTCGATAATTGGAAAAATAATACAAGAAATTAGAACAGTATAATCCGTTTAAATTGAATTATTTTGTTGTTTAGATATACATAATTTAAATTTTGTGTCCCTGTAGTAGACAAAGGCAGAAACATTATAAAGATCGTGATGCATAGTGCGCGGCAAAAGTATCTATTTTAATGATCATTACGCTGATTCACCATTTAGAACAGGAAGTGCAAGAACTTAAACGAAAATTGGAAAAATACAATGAAGAATTACTCAGACAGACGTTGCGGTTTGTATTTCATAGGACTTATTTAAATGAGGTATTGATTCATCAACATACATACGTACAAATATATTTACAATTTATAGGCATGTGTGTGGTTATGCGTATGTGGTGATAGTTTTCATGGAAAAGTTCGTAGCACATAAAGCAAAAGAAAAATAAACGTACTAGAAATCATGTGCTACGGTAGATAGAAGGGACGGAAAGTGAGGCTGAAGGATGACAAATATTCGGCAAGCGAAAAAGAAAGACGAGGGTGGTGCATCGACATAGACAATTTCCCTCTCAATTAAGCCCAACAATGTTTCGCGCTCCGGCCGTAGTATCTGAATACGGCGGGAATTTCCGTTTCTTGATGGACTTTCTCAATATATTTCGCTCGAGTAAACTTGTTTGTCTACAGACAGAACCTCAGCGAAGGAAACTTAAGAAAATCGCCGAGCTCCATTTTTCTTCTAATATCAATAGATTTGAGTGTCAGCGAACATTCTGCACGGCACAGAGAATATGATGAATGGTTTTCGCCCATTATCCCACAAAGGCATAAATATATATATATATATATATATATATATATATATATATATATATATATATATATATATATATATATATATACATATATATACATATATATATATATATATATATATATATATATATACATATACATATATATATATATATATTTTGTAAGATAAGTGTATTAGTCATAAAATGTATATTCAGATGTATGCACGTTCAAGAATACACACACACTCCCAAATACTTCTCCGATAGATAGTTACGCATATATATATATATATATATATATATAAAATATATAAAAAAAAGTAACCACTATTCAACTCTGATAGATAGTTATGAACATATTATACACATACAGACACACAGACACACACACACACACACACACACACACACACACATATATATATATATTAAAAAGTAGGAAAATAACCACTATTCTACTCTGATAGATAGTTATGAACATATTATACACAGACACACACACACACACACACACATATATATATATATATATATATATATATATATATATATATATATATATATATATATATATATATATATATATTAAAAATTAGGAAGAGTAACCACTTACGCTACCACGGTTATATATATATGTATATATTAAAATTAGGAAGAGTAACCACTTACGCTACTACGGTTTCAAGCATTGATATCTCGTCAGGTGTTAGAGGTTAATGCTCAATGGCTGAAATAGTTTCCTATCTTTTAATATTTAAAAAGCTCTACATGTTCGATTTTGGATTGTTTATAGAGCACTTTTTAATACAAACTTCCTCTGATATGATTCAACTCTGACCAACAGCTATTCATATATATATATATATATATATATATATATATATATAGAGAGAGAGAGAGAGAGAGAGAGAGAGATTCAGAGAGAGAGATAGATAAATTGCCATATATCTAATATAGATAGACAGGAACAAGTTGATTGAGACATACAAACAGATAGATAGATAGATAGATAGATAGATAGATAGATAGATAGATAGATAGATGTAAACATAATTAGTTTAGATAGATAAAGTGTCATTGCTCACATGATAGGAATTAGCCAAGGATTGATGACATCACTCTATTCTCTGTTTCTTTCTCATAATGTTGAAGTCAAAGGCGATAACTGAAAGCATCAGAGGTGATGTTATTAGTAAATACAGGACTATTAAATGGTATAAGGCTATCTCCAAGTGTCACGGTATCCCCGTTTCAGTAAAGCGAAATGTTAAGAACTTTCCAAAGCATGGAACTCTCAAGAACGTACCTGGACGTAAGATTAAGTGGACAATTATATGATAAAAGTTTTCGAAGGTTGGTGAAAGCTATGGAAAGAAAAACACCAGATAAAACGACCTGAAAGCCGCGTTAATTCTTTCATCATGTACCAGATAAATAGATAGATATGAGGAGACTAGGTAATGTTATAAGATCGAGAAGAAAGAAAGAAATAAAGAGCAAAAAACCATAGACTGGATTAGATAGATAGATAGATAGATAGATAGATAGATAGATAGATAGATAGATAGATAGATAGATGCATGAACGGACTGAGAGTGTTAGGCAGATAGATATATAGAGAGATAAATGCATTAATAGATAGATAGATAGATAGATAGATAGATAGATAGATAGATAGATAGATGGATGCATGAACGGACTGAGAGAGTTAGGCAGATAGATATATATAGAGATAAATGCATTAATAGATAGATAGATAGATAGATAGATATATAGATAGATAAATGCATGAATAGATAGATAGATAGATAGAAAGAAAGAAAGAAAGAAAGAAAGAAAGAAAGGTGGGTTTTTATGGACGACGGACAAGGAAACAATATTACTAAAGACAAAAAGCAATAAGTGAAATTTGCCAAAATGTATGTGGGGTAAACATAATCCTTCTGGATATATTTTCTGCGTATAGACGAAACAAAAATAAAGCATCTGGACAATACACACAAACAATATGTTCACAGATGGCCAAATATAAAAAATGATTTTTTTATATGCTTATTTTTTTTTCATAAGCTTCGTTATGGAGGATTTATAATGTTCCTGGTTATTTTGCAGCATTTAGTACCCGAGGCTCTGACCGTATCAAAGGCTGTATTACATGGATGATGCTATTGTCCTTGTATGTTTCTACAATTATGTTGCGGATAGATTATCATGGGATATTAAATCAAAACCTGCCTAATATATATATATATATATATATATATATATATATATATATATATATATATATATTTATATGTGGGTTTGCGGCGAAGATTATCTGTTTCAGCAATATAACCCAAGGCACACATACATAATTAGAGAGGAACCCCGGTTCTCGAATGTCTCAATGCCGTACAAATCGGTTTTCGAACAGAAAATTCGAGATGAAAATTCCTCGTTTATCGAACAAAATTTCGGTTCTCGAACAACATAGTCGAATCGAGTTAACACAAACGTAATATTTTCTGAGTCGACTGCCGTGTTGTATACATTTGTGTGTTGTGCCGTGCTTTTCTTTTCCAATTTTTTTGTACTGTGACTTTTTTTTCTCTACATTTATTCCTATTGGAAAAAAACAGTTTCAGTTTACGAAAATTTCGGGTTACGAACGGCCTTCAGGAACAAATCAAATTCGTTAACCGAGGTTCCACTGTATAGAGGTACGGTTGAAGAGGGAGAAATGAACTGTTTTAGACCTGCTACCTCCCATTGAAAAATCCCATTGAAAATCATTGAAAACATAAAATTCTCGAGACCCTCTATAACTAAATGAACCCACCAATACTCAACAAAATTTATTACGAATATAACATATTAAAGTGCATATAACAAACGACTAATGCCATTTTACATTTCTGCCAATTTCAGGTCAGCTCCCTTATACGAGCTGAGATGTATAAATTTACCAATTAACCAGATATATTTACCAAAATTACACAAAAAATATCTTAAAATACTAAATAGTAAATTTATTCAATAAAATCGCCATTGGCTTCAACCATGGCCTCCAGACGATTTCTTGCAACACTTGTAGATGGTCTCCTTGTTTAAGTTGGTGAATGCTGCCATAATCCTTGCCTTCATTTCATCTTTGGTATTACAAGGTATTTTGTTGGTCTCTTGTTCCAATTCGTCCCACACATAATAATCAGGGTATTGCAAGCCAGGGGAGTTAGTTGGTCATATGTAAGGGGATGATGTCGTCGTAGAAATTGTCTGTCAGACATCACTGGTTTAGCCTAATTATGTGACATGGTGCAAAATCATGTTGCCAGATATAGGGTGTTCAATCAGCCAACCTCTTGACCCAGGGCAACACTACCTCTTCAAGACACTTGATGCAGGCCTCGCTGTTGGGTCTGAGGCCCACACCATGCCATTCAGGAGTCCTTTTCTGATCAGAACGATCAGAGTGAGTTTTCTGAGCTGCTTTACCTTCGTAATTACCATTAGACTCATCCAGCTCTTTCAGAACCGTCTGCGCTGTCATCAGATTGACACCCAAACAATCTGAAATATTCATATTGGAGCTTCCCGCACGAATATCAAGCAGAACAGCATACTATTTCCAAATTTGGGTGGAGTGAATTGTGTCATGGTATTCTTTTAGTCACAGACGGCGCCCGACTTATCCTATAATACTGTGCGGTCGACAAAGTCAAAAATGCGCGAAATTAAAATTATAAAATTGAGCCAATTTACCTATCGCAGGCTTCATTGAAACGCTTTTTTTTGCCAAAAATTCCATAACTACAAAGAATAAATTTAAAATTTTAAAATAACTAAAACACGACGTTCGTCTATGTTTTAAAAAATCACGACCCAAAGCAGATTTTATCGCAGTTACAATAAGTTTGAATTAAGATATGCTGCATATATATATATATATATATATATATATATATATATATATATATATTATATTCTTTTATATGCCGTGTCCTTCAGGATGCAGGCGATCATGTCTCTCCACTTCTTCCTGTTCCTTGTAGCTCTCAATACCCTGTTCTGCTATCCACTATGTCCATTAAGTATGACACACGTTGCTTTCCCCTGCCCCCCACTTTCCCTCTATTTGTCCTGTGAGTATCAGATTTTTCAAGGCCACTTTTCTTCTTAAGTGTCCCAGAAATTTCAGCTACTTCTTCCTGATATTAATTGTGTATTTCGGCAGCAATACCTCTTTTATACATGTTTCATTAAAGAATGTAGGACGATTGAAAACGTATTGAGATTATGCATCTTATAAAATTTTTCTTGTGTTCGTATAGATTTTTTTCTTTTCTGGACATAAAGTGTGCAAAAATTCTACAAATGTTCTGCATACCCGAGCACATTCGGCCATTCTTTTAGCTTTTACTAAGAACAATGTTTATTCTTTTTTTTTTTTTTTTGACTGAATGTATGTACTTTTATGTATGTGTCTAGAGTTATAGGCATGTTTTATTTTACAAACACGACCAGCACATTGTGGCCGTGTTCCTAGTTGACGTTATTGCGTGTTGGCTTTTACTTTTTGATTATTAGTGCTTCCATTATTTTAATCTTTTATATTGTACATATGAATGAGGCGATTTTACTTGTAATTTTCTACAAGTATGTCGCTGATAGAATTTGGTAGGTTTATATGTTTGTTTGGTAGGTTTATATGTATGTTTAAATGAGTCCTAATTGTGATATGGTCAGAGTGGTGTAACGTGAGTCGTCCCGCTATGGATGTATTGGTATGTCCAATATAATTATTCAGGAGTCTGGTTTGATCAGGAAACCACGTTCATATGAATTTATAAATGATATTTGTTCTCTGTTATTTAGATTTTGCAGGTGTTCTGTTGCTCTAAATCTTTTATAGTAGATAATTTAATTTTCTTATTCTAGTCGACTAGGATTGTATCTTTCTTTATAATATATCTAAGAGAAAGTTCATTCAATAATGCTATTACATTAGAAAGAAATAATCTGATTTGGTGATCATTAAGGTTACTAACACACACACACACACACACGCACACACACACACACACACATATATATATATATATATATAAAAGTGAACATTGAAGTCAGAACTCAGAGACGACAGACTGTTTCATGCTAAACGCAGTCATCAGTCTGTCATTTCTGAGCGTTTACTTCAATGCTTACTTTTATATTTACATACGTTCTATCTCTGATATTGATCACTTTATCCCATAAATATAGCATACCTGAAAACTATATTTCTCCATATATATATATATATATATATATATGGATGTATATGTGTGTATGTATGTATGTGTGTGTGTGTGCGTCCGTTTCTGTGTAAACATGATTATATATACACGACTGTGTACAGAATAATGTGTTGTTTGAAAGTGTTTTTCTCTGTATAGAATTATTTATACGTTACTCGGTAGGCACAACATCATACACACGTTTCCAAATATATATGTTCTTCGAAAGAAACATACACATGTGTCAGTTACATACGAGTGGTTGCCTTTCACACATTTGATGGATGTCGTGAAGGTTATCAGGTCATTATTCTTTCGAAAGTCTTTACGGCCTGAAAGTGATTGCTTGAGTGAAAATCCATGTCATCGATATGCCGTAAGGAAAAGCCGGGTCAGTAGGGGCAGCTAGTATTTGCAGGGTTATTGACATTTCAGCATGCCCAGGGTTTGAGGGAGAGGCAAGGTGTGTCTATGTTGGGAGGAAGAAAACGGAACGTCTTTCACGGGAATCTAACTCCCTTGGTGTTCGACCAAGCGCTCACGGTGATATCCGAAGATAAATCTCCAAATAATTACGTAATTTACGTACATGCCTACTTCAGTGAAAAGTATGCACTGTTAAAGAAGAATGTGGTGCGCCACCTTTTTTTTAATATTTTAAATTATAATAATCGAAAATTACCTAAGAGCTATTGCATGATTTAAGATCCTTTCAGCTTTTTTTCTTTCTAATTTACTAAAGTTCTTTTTTGCATTTTTATTAAAGTTCAACCAATACAAGGCTCAAGAGCCCCTCAAGTTAGATGGTCACAGAATAAAG